TTAAGTGCTAAGATTATCACTGGTGACTTCAATTATGCTGGGATTAACTGGAGTACCGGTAGTTGTCAGTCAAGTAATGATGAATTTTCAGCAATCCTTAACCTGCACTACTAGTCACAGTGGGTTCTGACCCCAACAAGAGGTGATAATATACTTGACCTAATATTTAGTAGAGATATCATCCCACTGTCTGTACTAGTATACAAAGAATTCGAAAGCAGCGACCATAAGTAGTAGCTTGTGTTCTCCCTATCTATCCCTCTTATAACCTACTAATTCAAAAAACCTGTCAATATAGAGACTATAAGCATGCAGACTGGGACCTCCTACGCTCACTTATGAAATTTTCAGACTGGAATGAATTCTTCTCATGTAATGGTCTCATAGATGCCATCAACATATTCTATTCGGTAATTAACTCTTGTCTAGATTCCTGTGCACCAATTAAAACGTACAGGTTTAGCAAGCCTTCCGAATTATATATACCAGTTAAATATCGTAATAAACTAAGACACCTACAGAAACGTTATTTTAAGTCAAACGATTTCATCGCAATTGTACAAATAACAATTATTTTTAACCAAATTAAAGAGAAACATTGGTTGAAAGCCATTAATGAGGAGCTATTAGCACTTAATACTAGGTCAAAAGTATAAAACCTAATTCTCCTTTTCAAACTCGCATCTTATTGGGTTCTAAAACCTTTGCTTGCTTGGTTTGATTTCTTCCTCAGCAACCGATATAAAACAGTTAAAATCAACTCTTCATTGTCGAACGTCGTCCCTGTTAGAAGTGGTGTAATATAAGGTAGTGTCTTAGGCCCTTTGCTCTTTTTAGTTTTTGTCAATCATATTTGTGTTTTTGTATGGGTAAGTCCTTGTTTACACAGATGAATCTAAAGTAGTGTATCAGTTTTCTCCACGTGAGCTTAGCAATATACAAAATCGCATCAGCACGGAGCCTAACAAGGTAGCACAGTGGTGCTCAAAATGGCAGCTGGAGCTTAATACAGCTAAATGTGGATAAATATGCTTCGGTGATACATCACTCAACCTCGATCTTACCATAAATAGTGAAGTATTATCTAGGTTACACACAGTAGTAGATTGACGACTGAGGTTCTCCTGCAACTTGTCGTTCACGGAACAGATAATGAAACAGAATTCCCAGTCTCAACGCCTTATATGTTATATAACTCGTAAGCTTTTTAACGATGAATCACGTATTTTAATGTACAGAGTTTGTGTTCGACCACCCCTTAAATACTATGCGTTTATTCTTAGTAGCACGCGCATAAAGGATAAATTGAGGCTCGAATCAGTAAAGCAAGGATTTATACTTGAATTCATGGAACTGATTGTACCTTGACTTATAATTCTAAATGTAATAAACTTGAGCTCGGCCCTTCATGGAAGAGCAGACTCAAACTAAATCTTTTATTATTCTTCTTCTTCAAAATACTTAACAAACTATCCTTCACATCCAATCAAGCAATTCAATATGCACAAACTTCACATTACGACATTTGTAACTGCTTGTCACTATTGAAACGAACATATTCCAGATCTTCTCTCTATATGAATTACTTAACGTGTAAACTTTCTAGACTCTGGAATAATCTAGCACAATCTATCCGTACGATAAAATCTCTCCCATTGTTTGTTCGCTGCATTGAAGCATACTGCTCCTCTGAAAATGCATTAAATGTTCTAGGGCCTGTAAGTGTATGTTACTCCACAAATGAGAGTATAGGAATATTAAATGTCTAACCACTTACCTGCTGTCACTTTACATCAACACTGTCCCTAGCAACTTTAACTCGTTTGAATAATATCTAACATGAACAGTGGTAAACCTGACCGACATATTTCGGCATTCATTGCTTTGTTGTCCCGTGCTCTCTGTATTAATTTTACTTTTTCTAGTTGTAGATAATTATCAATAATTCGAGCTGGCACTGGAAATAACTTTTAAGAACACCATTCATAAATCATCAGGCTATCCACTTAAGAAAAAATTAAAAGTTGCATTGAATTATTTCTTCTGGTTAGCGTTCTTTTAACGCGGAAGGCCAAAGAATACAATACGCCGGGAAATAGAAGCAGATATAAAAAGAATGAGTAACAGCTAGAAAGGATTGCCGAAGACAAAGTTGAATGGAGAATGCTGGTGGGCGGCCTATGCTCCTCAAATATGGATAGTGGCTAGCTTGTTAGGCAATACGCACAGTATGCACATATGTCGATAAGAAACTGACCAGTTGCAGTCTTAAACATCAATGGGAAGATTCATACAAGTAATACTAAGTGAATAATAAAAATAATATGAAAACAATTTGAAACCTAATCACTCTGGATTATAAGGTGATATTACCAGGGTAGGTTTAAGTTGAAAGCAAACTGTTTTCGAATACACAAAGTGGGTTTGAATTTTCCTATCGCCTAGGCTCCAATAAACCTTAGTGTACGCCCTTTCACACTTTTATACAACACCACAAAAGACGAGTTTAGATTAAAATTATAGCCTGTTTCGATTATATGTTTGGCAATAGAGGATGATGGATGTTTATCCTCTACTCTTATCGAGTCATTTTATTCTATTTGTTTCTGCAACCATTTTGGTACATGTTCACACACCCTAATTTTCAGATCACGATTGCTCCTCCCTTGTATGTGTGACCACATACACATTTAAACTGCTAAACGCAGTGGGATGTGACACAATCGTTTTCATGTCTTTTAGATTTTGAATGAAGCATGGACCTCGTTCTCTCTTTGATAATGGCCTTCGAAGTACAATACACTTAATTGATGACTGATTTAAGCCTTTGTTTCAATAAAAGGCTATTTGAAGCACCTCTAAATGGTATGGTGATGTAAACAGGCTTTTTTTCCACCAAGGCTACAGTAGGTCTCACTGTACCATGAGCTTTCCATCTATCTATAAGTTTAAGTGGATAACCATTCCCCATTATTGCTTTGTTTAACAACTTAACATCATCATCAATAGCGTTGTTTGTGCAAATACGATCAAGCCTCTTAAATAGGCACTTGATGAGACCCCATTTGCACTGCACGGGGCAATAACTATAATGGCTAAGGTATTGGTCTGTCCAAGTAGGTTTTCGAAATATGGATCGTATGATCGAGTCATTTTCTCGTCTACTTGGAAGTATATCCAGGAAGGGAAACTGGTCGTTCTTCTCCTCTTCGCAAGAAAGACTGATGTGGTTTTGAATAGTGTAAAGTTTATTCAATAAACAGTTCATATCATTCTTCCTTTCACAGACAACTAAGATGCCATCCATTTATCTCTTATGAACTGACATGTTTTCGATTAGGTTTCCAGCCAAATTTTCAGCATGTGCCATAAAACATCTGCTAATAATGGTCCTAACGGACTACCCATAGCAACCCCATCAATCTGGCGAAAATATTCGCCTTCAAAAGTGAAATGAATTTTTTCGGTATATCATAGTATTAAATCTTTAGGAATTTTTCAAGGGATAGATCATTTGAGATTGTTTAAAGATGTATAGTCACATATTATGTTAATAGTCTTTTGTAAGGGTACATTTGTGAATAATGAATTCATGTCACATGAACACATTATATTTCTCTTGATATTAATATCATGTAAGCGATCGACTAATTCAAAAGAATCCTTCAGAGAATACTTACATAAACGTCTTCGAATAGGATCCAGCAATTTTGCTAGCCATTTAGCTAGGTCATGTGTAGGTGATCAATTATGCAGGGAAATAGAAGCAGATATGAAAAAAAAAAGAATAACAACTGGAAAGAACTGGAAAGGATTGTCCAGGAAAGGGTTGGATGGAGAATGCTAGTGTGCGGTCTATGCTCCTCGACAAGGGGTAACAGGCGTAAGTAAGTAAGTATGTGTAGGTGATCGGCACATTGATAAAATTGGTCGTAAAGGAATATTTGATTTATGAATTTTAAGGTTGTCCATATAAATGAGGCTACTCAGAACCCATAGGTTTTAACAAATTAAATTCCTCATTATCAATAATATTCATGCGTAACAAATTTTCCAGCTTTGAATTTACTCTTCCCTCTAGTTTGTTAATACCTCCAAATTCAAAATCAGGCATAAATTTACTCTCATCACTGAGGATGGATAACATCTTACTTTTATATTCACATTTGTTCATGATAACCACGTCTGAACCTTTATCATGAGTCCATTAAATTAAACTACCATGCAATTCATAGAAACACAGGACGGCCGTTTCTTCCTAGTATGTGCCACCCATGCTGATTGACTAGAAATAAGCAGATTATATTTTTCTGCCTAGTGAATGATGACAAAGTGCAGTCTTCTAACCATCATAGGAAACAAACATCGAGTTATGATTGCCGCAAGTTCTTTCAACGAACATCATATTATTTTATAATTAATTGTTAAGTTTTATATTATGAATAGTTTAGTTGCTTAATAGTTATCCAATAAAAATATATCCTAAGTATTAGTCCAGAAATAGATTCCAACAGTTACTACTCATTATTCTCATCGGGATGTTCATAATTCCATGTTGTTATTATAATTAATCAGATTATCTTTAAAACTGTTTTTTTAATAAACCAATGTTTGACTATCAAAACTTTAGCTACATGTCTACATTCGTATTTCAGGTAAAATGTGAGCTGAAACATTCGGCTAAATCTATATCTGGTTACATGAAAGGAGTCATTCAAAATTCTCTCTACCACAGATTAATTTTAATAAGATACTCAATGAATAATGTAAGAAATATCAGTTGAATTGAATCATTTTAATGAAGCTGATATTCATCATTCATCAAACCTGCAACCACGAATGCTAAAATAGTTATTCAAGTGATTGGTCAATCAGATAAGTCAGTTCTTATTGAATAATTATGACTAATAAAATTACTACCAAATTACTTACTGTACATACAACAGTATTTAAACTGAACTACTCAATTCAACAAGTTAATGTGTGCAATTCTTAATTAACTCACTCGTAAATCTAGGTTAAACTGGTGAATTGTGAACGACTTTCAAGTGTCACAATCATTATCATTTATTCAAGCTACAACGATAAATAAAATGAAATGGATTAGTAAAATCGCTTATGGAACGGGTCAAATGCTTAAAGATCTTGTTGCAGGAGTTATTAGTATATTCTACATAATATTCTATGAAGGATGTATCAGTCTGAGCAGTTCACAAGTTGGGGGATTAATACTGTGTGGTCAGATTGTCAATGGATTAGCCACACCATTGATTGGTTATTTATCAGATCGTTCACTCGGTTCAACTGAAAAATCGACAGCAGATCACCAGTCGATAACATGTGAAAATGAAAATGTAAAGAAGAATAAGAGGTTGTTGAATCTAATGAAACGGCAGTTGAGACTTGGACCGAGAAAGTCATGGCATTTAGCTGGATGTTTATTGATAGTTATTGCCTTTCCATTGATGTTTGGACAACCGGAATATTTAGTTAGGCTTCCAGTTTGGGCGAAGTTATTGATCAATAGTATGTTTATGATCTGTGTTCAGGTATGTCTTATTGTATGGATGAATGTTTTTTATGCATTCATGGGAATGTTTGTGATTGTGATGTGGGTTTCTTGGAATCACTCGGAAAAATATTAAGGTGAATATTTTAGTACGATGTGTTAGATCTAAATCCATGTACATGTGTAAACATTGAAATGAGAATTACGAAACTAAATTTGAGGGAATTAAATATCTTCCACCGATCACATAATCAAACATTAATTGTTTGACAGCGAAATCGCTAGAAAAATAAACTGTTCATATGCTTTTAATAGTTTTATTATTAAATTACACAAAACTAAATGATCTGCAATTTTTAAACTGCATTTTTTTAAATTTTACCCGATATAATTGATGGTTAATGACAAATCTTGCTGGTTGAACGCTATAGTCGGATCCTAAGCTAGTCTCGTAATCGCCAAGCTAGAACTACACAGTGACTTGAATATGGGAGAAAAGGCGCAAAATATACGAAAAACACTTTACTCCATAGGTTTATTTATGTACAAAATATATAGGGTTTTTATGGTATTTTAGAAGTCCTTGGGTTTTCCTGAAATTTCTAGAATACTAACAAACATGGTAGCAGTGTAGTAATCAGCCAATCAGAATCTCTACATGTGGCTTTTCATTTTCGTGATGTTTCTAGAAAAACTTCTAGTCAAACGCTGATTGGATAAAATGCATCTTAGTGTTTCCTGAGCTTGTAATGTCTATTGCGAGAAATTTTCGGGATCGCCCCAACACCTCCCCCCTTTCAGGAAATAAGTCTTTTTCTTCGGGTCTACTTGCAGGTGGCAACATAGCGTAGAATATAGTTCGAATGCTTCTCCCGAACATCGCTTCAGTAGAGGATTTTCTATCTGGTACGAAATGGTTAAGCGTATATCTATAAGCTGATAAGAATTTCGTAATTACCTGACCTGTCTCCTCGCCTTCCCTCTCAGTAGTGCTCTTTTGAATATGTCTACGAAGCGCTCAGCCTGTCCATTTGATTGAGGATGATAGTATGGTAGAGTATATGTGCAATTCCATTAATGCTGAAGAAGTGCTTGAATGATTCTGCAGCGAATTGTCAGCCGTTACTGGCTAATAAAGTTTCTAGAACTTCAAAGCAACTAAACAGTTCAGATAGCTTGCTGATTGTTTCATTGGCTGTGCAATTTGTCATAGACTTGTGGCCATTTCGTGGGTGCGTGCACCATGACGAAAAAAATTCTTCCTCGCATTGGGCCGGCGAAATCGGCGTGCAGCCTACACTAGGGACTATTACGCTTTTCCAATTGTTGTGGTTCACACTTCTTTATACTTTTAGATGCTTGCAGGCACGATGAACAATTGCGGTATCTGGTTTCGATATCTTGATACATTGTAAGCCAGTAAGCATATCTTCGAGCCAACGCTTTCATCTTACTGATGCCGAGATGGCCGCTGTGGAATTGTTCCAGGACCCTGTGGCGTGATGTTTTTGGAACAACAATTCTGTCACCAAACATAATACATGTATCGACCGTCATGAGTGAGTCTCGCCTGCGGAAATATTGTAAAATTTCTCCTTGAAAACGACGGTTCGGCCACTTGTTGAGGAGAAAACAGCTAACTTTTCTTAATGTCTTGTCATTTTCCGTGGCTTCTTTGATGGCTTTGAAAGTAGTTGGTAAACCATCAACTGCGTCTTCCAATACTCGATATACTTCTGCTTCCGTCTCAATCGCTGCCACCAAGATTGATATGTTAAATCTGTATACCTTATTCTAGCTTCAGGACAAGCCAATTTACCTATCTATCTTGAGTCATGTTTCGACCTTGTTAATTATTCACTTATTAACCCTGACTGTTTTTATATGAGCGTATGTGTATGTGTACACTTCTTATCCTATTCATCAAATGTCTCTAACTTATTTTTATCTGACTATAAATATTAATGAACGCCTAATTAAAGCGAGATGGCTTATCCGACATCTCCAATGCGTGTCATTTTTGTTTCGCTCGCTGATATTTGTTTATGTGCTTATAACTTTCTGGCCTGCGTCATTTGTAAATAAAACTGTAGCTGTCGCTTCTCTTTACCTTCTGATTTTATGCACCGTTAGGATTTGTATTATAACGTTTATCGAGGTGAACGATTAGCGAAGCACAGCACTACAATGTACATCGACTGTCTAGAGTCTAGAAGTGTGTCTGTGAATGTCTTCAAAACTGTCAGACAACAATACAGAGTCGAACAATGTTATCTTATTTCTGACTGGTTTTTCTATGATAAGCAGTTAAACTTATTAACTGATGTGACACAGTCGATTTTAGTTACAGAGACTAATCAAACAATTTTCGTCTTTTAAACTTTAAACATACAGTAAGTTCAGTGGCCATTGAATATCTGACTCCAGGTAGATCGTATGAATGATTGTTATCGAAATATATATGTCCACAATTCTCGTGTATAATCATCGACTGAAGTCGCATTGGTGAATAACGTAATTAAATAAGTCAAATACGAGAATGGATTTTTGAATACATATACTTTGTACAGTCGTTGATATGGACAGACACTCAGAGGGATGAAGCGAAGAGAGCTCAGCGGAGAAGGCGTTTGAGCCAACTCCATTTAATCAAGCCTTAATATATATTCATAGTCAGACAAAAGTAAGTTACAGACATGCGATAAGCAAGATAAATAATTTGCACACATACGACCATATAAAAAACAGTCAGGATTAGTAAACGATTAAGTGACAATCTAAAAATGTAGTTTGAGGAGAATGAATAAATTAATCTGTCCATATGCTAGAATAACCTATGTGGGCTTGACATAGTACCAGCCCCTACAAAGATCTAAATTATAATCTGCTATTTTAACTAATCATTATTAATTCTCTGTATTTAAGTACTATGGTGTATAACAGCTTGAATAGATCCATTCCATTAATTTGTACTTGGGTAGATAACGTACAAAACTATATGTCGGTACTATTTTTTGTCATATAACTTCCTGATTGATCAACTTTCTTTGTTTTGCGGTCAATAAATAAGATCCAAATATTTTTGAGGATATTAGTAGAATTATTATCCAGAGTGACCAGGTTTCAAATTGTTTTCACATTAGTTTATTATTATTTTTATCCTGTAGTATCAGTTTCTATGTTAAGCCCATATAGTTTATTCTAGCTACTGGCCAAGCTAATTCACCTATACATTAAGTCATCTTTTGATCTTGTTCATTATTCGCTTATTAACCTTGACTATATTTTTATATGAGTGTGCATGTGTACCCTTCGTATCTTATTCATCATATATCTGTCATTCATTTTTGTCTGATTATAAATATTGAGTAATGCTTGCTCATATCGTGTTGGCATCCCCGCCATCTCCAACATGCATCATCTTTGTTTCGCTCGCTTACATGTGCTTACAACTTTCTGGTCTGCATCGTTCGTCAATAAAAATGTAGTTGCCGCTTCCTATTGCATTCTGATTTTATACACCGTTAAGATTGGTATAGTAACGGTTATCGAAGTGAATTATTGAAGCACGGCACTACAATCCTTGTCTCATCTTACCCCTCCATTTCCAGTCGAGTTGATCAGATTGTTCGAAATGTATTGTGCTAATATCTCATCACATAGTTCTTCTGATAATCCTCGTCTTCTTATTACACTATCAGAATTGGTTCTCTCAATGATGAAATAGACATAGAAAATTCCTAATTAAGTGAAATTTTTTCCCATTCACAAATCCACCATGCTTCTTCTTCTTTTTTTAAAATATTCCCCTCATTTTAGATAAGTAAATAATTGTAATTATTTTTGTTATATCCGAGTGAAGAAATAAATACGGTTAACTTCCGGGACCTATTAAAGGATGATTATTCTATATATATGTTCTTATTGTTTAGCTATTGAGCAACTAGATTGTGTATATTTATATTCATCTTATTATAAGCTTCATTTTGACCTATGAATTAGTACTGTACGGTTTGCTGTCCCTGAATGATATTCAGTTTATTGATTATTGTATCTCACGTTCACAGCCACGTTTGACTTGATCTTCTACAAATATTATTTTCTATTTCATGGTGGGATGCGATCTGTTTGTCTGGTGTATAAAACCGAGTATGCTTGAAATAAATAATTCGCATAGTTTCGCATAGCAGAAGCTGCAATTAGTGTTCTGGACTCAATTGGAAGGGCTATGCGGACAAGGGACCAATAAGGATACTAGATTACTCATACTGGTCGAACGTCATTGATTTGTCACAGTGTTAGTAATGGAAAAGTTGTATTTCGTTTGGTGGCTAATTCCCGTGATAAAGTCGGACATAAAATCAAGAAGGAATTAGCATACGTTCTATTATTATATTTTTTTTATAAAGTCATAACAATTTTATTCTTTAAAATTATTAGTAATTCACTTTATTCAATAATTGAATCTGTGAGTCGATTAAAACTAGACTACCATTGGACCTGGAAGCATTGGACGACCGTTTCATCATAGTATGTGACTCCTCAGCAGTGTGCAGCCACGATACCCCTTACAGGATCCTAACCTAGGACCTTCGTTCTCTCGCGAGCGAACGCTTAACCTCTAGACTATTGAGCCGGTAACCAATGGTGTTAATGTCTAACTTCAACCAATCCATGTTATCTCTAAAAAAATAAAATTGTTTATGATCACCTTGTTCTTGTAATCAAAATCGTTCGCTTTCGTTTAAACAAAATCAGTTGTTTTTGTTATATGACAACTTGAAATATCACTTCGTTCAGTGATTACATACTACTGTTTACTTATATATATATCTATAGTTATCCATAAATGATAGACACTTTTGTATATTATATAACCAATATATTTTACTACTATTGTTTTATTTAGAAGAGGATTTGTGGAGATTTCAGTATTTTTCAAAGCTGAAATCATGAGTCAATTGAAGCTAGACCACCATCGAAAACCTGGAAGCATTGGACGGCCGTTTCGTCCTATTATGGGAGCGAGATTCGAACACAGGACCTACCACGAAGTTGAGCAACCATGCACCAATTGTCTTCAGTGAGTTCCTATCTCATAACGGACGTGGTTGAACTCCACTGGTCACTGCTTCCCACTAGAACACCAGGACATGTATGGTGGTCTAGCTTCAATTGACTCATGATTTCAACTTTGAAAAATACTATTGTTTTAGTTAAACTTTTATCAATTAATTAAAACGTGTTTTGATATAATAGAAATCACTAATCTAGAATGAAAGACTATTTATAACTTAATAAGAAAATATAATAGATAGTAATAGATAGATATAATGTAATAGTAGATAGTAATCAAAATGAACCAAATAGAGAATTGATTACGTTATATCTATTATAAACATTGAGTTCATTGTTCATATTCACACACACACACACATGTATTGGATTGATTAATAACTATTACATAATATAATACTTGATATTTAATAAAAATCAGGTACTTTGTTGAACTATATACACTTATCAAGATAATCTATATACATATAAACAAAAAATAAACATTTCTTTATAATTAACTCATTACAATAAGGGGTTAGATATTATATGATATTGATTTTATCATTTCGTTATTGATTATTGAAAACAAAAACAAAAAATCTAAGATCAACTTGAACTATCATAAGTCATTCATTGATCAAGTATCTAATTGTAATATTGGATGATACATGATCAAATCATTGGAAATATACTTTTTTTTTGGATTATAGATGTATTTCAGTAATAAATGTCGACTAAATAGAAACGTGGATGTAACATTTTCATGCCAATGTATTTTTTTGCAGTTATCTCATATAATCATAAATACAACGCTTAATAGTTGTCATGGTTATTATGTTGACAGTTAGTGTAATTTATGGGAAAATTAAAAGAGCCCCCAGGAAACTGAGATAGCGAATTCTAAATAAGTTAGTCGTATCATATAGAATTTTAAAAGTTGAATACTTTAAGGTGTCAAAAGGTTCGAAAAATAATTTCACACTGACATAAGGGGATTTTACAAACTACAAACCAATAAATTTGGATAGGCTAAAACATGAAATCAATATTATCACCAAAAATAGAAAATAGGAAATCAATTCCTTATCAAATTGAAGTCAATTATTCTTTAAGCTAAATCATATTAGACCTTAGATTGAAATGTTTTCTTCAGCGATTGTTTTAGAAGAGAACTGAGTAGAAATTTCATTAAACTTCATTAAACCTCATACTGTCAGGAAGGACTCACATGTAAGTGACTGTGAATTACAATACTATCAAGAATAATTTATAAATGAAGTTAAACATTTGTTAACCAACCATTTGTACAAATAGTGTCTTCTTTTCAATGAGATGAATTGAACTAAGCACAGGATTTCACTTGAGTAAAGTAATAAAGGATCATTTTCATCATCTTAAGCTAGAACATTGATTTCAGGTCAAACTAATCGATTCTCTCTTTGTCTACCCAACAATGTTTTAAAGGTTGGTTGGGCAGCTGTACAAATTCCTCACTTATCAATTATCAATGATTTGACAGATCAACATGATGAACGAGTATTACTTGCATCGTTACGATATTTCTTCAGTGGTATAGGTGATATGGCTACATTGCTTGTGACGTATCTGTTTTTTGAATCAGAGAAATCCAGTTTGTTAATTTTGAAATCAGTAAATGAAACTGGCAACAATGTGAACAACAGTCAACTATTCACAAAATCATTACTAACAACCGACAATATTGTTGAAAGTAAACGAGTAACATTGGTCAATGATTCGATAAATAATCAGTCGACAAATGTTGGAAAACAGTCAGTTGTACATTCAGAATACAATATAACAATTCAAGATTTGCCCATATTTCGAAATGTTGCATTGATTGTCGTTGGGATTGGAGTATTATTCACAATAATCTTCCATTGTGGTGTTCATGAAGGTAAACCGAAAGCACAACAACCTTTCACAATCCAATCCAATGAAAGTAAGTTAAATATCATGTTGATTTAGATGGAATTTCCGAAATCTCGAATATGTATGAATATTGTTTGTTGATATGTTCACGTGTTTCAACAAATGGAGATGATCCCGATGAAAGCATTTTTAGAGAGATCTCTGTACTTATTGTACAAACGAGAATTTCGGTGCAACCGATTTGATCGCTAGAAACTAAACATCTGATTAGTCTTGATACGAGATAAATACTAACTTGCTAAATGTTTGTTGGTTGTTCATTATTGCATACTGAATGATCAGTTTGAAGGAGACAGTGATGATGAAAACATTGGAAAACTTACTTTCCACTTAACTGTTATTTTTGTCGATGTAGTAGGAATGAACTAAAATTGATCGCAAATCTCTGTCACTCATCATTTACAAGTTTCATTGACTAGTGTTATGATGAATGTACAGGTTGACATTAGATTAAGTAGTGTACTGAACTCATTTGGATAATTGCCAAAATTTTAGTTATCATCAGACATTAGGAGCACGAAGTTCAGAGAATGGATCTTTCCAACGAATTTATAATCAAACTGTACAATCATATATACATGAAAATTGTTTGTTTATGTATTAGTTCCATGTGGAAATGTGAACAAGTACAAACCAAGATAACGTTATATATAGTACGAATAATAACAATGGACTCGATCAGTTAGTGATCAATTATAACGTGAATGTAGTAAGATGAATAACATGATTTTGTTTCAATAGAGAACAAACATGCAATGGGCAGATGACCAACTTCTATAGTTGGGTTCCTTGAAGTAAAAAAATTAATTTCATTCACTCTTTATGTTATCGATAACATCGGATATGTAGTACGGAATGCAGTGACGAAGAACTCTCATTCCTCAAGAAAAATCTGACAAAAGATAGTTATCCAGACCGCTTCATAAGTAAGAATATGAAAAGTAGTTATGACAAGGAAGTCGGTTGTTTGGTTCCAAAGAAAAATCTTTATATAAGTTTGAAATTTAAGGGTGATCGTACATCTGAGGTAATCAAAAATCGTTTAACGACAGCAATTAAAGGAACATTCAATGCGGTAAGACTGCGAATACCGTTCACTGATAGGAATTTGTTTTTTGTATCCATAAAAGATTAGCTTCCCCATCTGGTCGCCTCCATGTCCATCTATCGGTTCACCTGTTCTTGTGCAGCAAGGTAAATAATAAGTACTTATACCTTCTTGATTTTGGTTGTAGTCGTTCTCCACTTCATGTTTCAAACTTGTTCATCCTAAACAACTTTTAAATTAAACAGCTTGCCAACATCCAACTAACAATATTATTATCATGTGAAAATATGAGAATTGAGTTGGTGTAGTTGATTTTCTCCGTGTGTTATTACTGTAACTATCGATAACACTGATGACCAAATAGTTTTCCAAATTCACTGAGCTCTAATAACGTAGGAGATCATCCGACTTTGATGTACTTCGATCTTTATCCCTTCCATTATACATGTATAACTCCGCCTGTAGCTCCTATGGGGGTTACTGCCGGTCCCAAGCCCGGGTAAATGAGGAGGGTTGGGCATGGGGTTAGCGACCCCATCCCGTAGAAAATCAACTCGCTAAAAAAACGCTAACCAGAAAAAATCATTAAAACCTTTCAAACTCTGCCCTGGGAGTAGAAGGAATAATTATGACGTCTCATGATGAAAGCCGAGTTCCTTCGGATGTCATGAGGCCGATGCACCTTCTTACAACCAGAGAGACAATTTTTATAGGTACATGGAATGTCCGAACAATGTGGGAGACCGGAAGAGTCTTCCAAATTGCTGCAGAAATGAGAAAATACAACCTAGAGGTTCTTGGAATCAGTGAAACACATTGGACGCAGGTCGGACAACAACGACTGTCTTCAGGAGAACTTCTGTTATACTCCGGTCATGAAGAAGAAAATACCTCACATACACAAGGAGTTGCATTGATGGTGTTCAGAAAAGCACAAAATGCACTTATAGGATGGGAACCTCATGGACCAAGGATCATCAAAGCCTCCTTCAATACAAAGAGAGAGGGCATTACAATGAACGTCATCCAATGCTATGCGCTTACCAACGAATACGATGAAGACACTAAAGACCAATTCTACGATAGGCTGCAGTCGATCGTCGAGAAGTGCCCAACCAAGGACCTGATAATTCTGATGGGAGATCTCAATGCTAAGGTTGAAATGGACAACACTGGATACGAAGACGTCATGGGACAACATGTACTGGGAGAAAGGAACGAAAATGGTGAGAGATTTGCAAACCTATGTGCCTTCAATAAACTGGTCATAGGTGGCATCATATTCCCACACAAAAACATACACAAAGCCACTTGGATTTCACCGGATCACATTACACAGAATCAAATCGACCATATCTGCATCAACAAGAAGTCCAGGAGGACGATGGCGGATGTGAGAACCAGAAGAGGAGCTGATATAGCATCCGATCATCATTTGCTGGTCGCCAAGATCAAACTAAAACTCAAGAAGCACTGGACAACGGCGCGGACAACATCACAAAAGTTTAATACGGCCTTTCTTCGAGATGCTGACAAACTCAACAAATTCAACATAGCCCTCAGCAACAGGTTCCAGGCCTTTCATGATCTACTCAATGGAGAGGGAACTACCATGGAGAGCAACTGGAAAGGTATCAAGGAGGCAATCGTTTCAACATGTCAGGAGGTTCTGGGCCAAAAGAAGCACCATCACAAGGAATGGATCACTGTTGGTACACTGGATCAGATTGAAGAAAGGAGGAACAAGAAGGCAGCAATCAATATCAGCCGAACCAGAGCGGAAAAAGCCAAGGCACAAGCCGAATACACAGAGGTAAACAAGCAAGTGAAGAGGAGCATCAGAACCGACAAACGTAAATATGTGGAAGATTTAGCGACGACAGCGGAAAAGGCTGTAAGAGAGGGAAACATGAGACAACTGTATGATACAACAAAGAAACGCGTTGGAAATTACCGTAAACCAGAAAGACCAGTGAAAAACAAGGAAGGCAAAGTAATCACCGACATTGAAGAACAACGAAACAGGTGGGTAGAACACTTCAAAGAACTCTTGAATCGACCAGCTCCACTGAACCCACCCAACATCGAAGCAGCACCTACAGACCTCCCAATCGATGTTGGCCCACCAACAATTGAAGAGATCAGCATGACCATTAGACAAATCAAGAGCGGCAAAGCGGCGGGACCAGACAACATCCCGGTAGAGGCACTGAAAGCAAATGTAGCAGCAACTGCCAAGATACTACACATCCTCTTCAGTAAGATTTGGGATGAAGAACAAGTACCAACAGACTGGAAGGAACGACTTCTGATCAAAATACCAAAGAAAGGTGATCTTAGCAAGTGCGACAACTACAGGGGCATCACTCTTCTCTCAATAACAGGAAAAGTCTTCAACAGAGTATTGTTAAACAGGATGAAGGATTCCGTGGACGCCCAACTTCGAGATCAACAAGCTGGATTTCGTAAGGATAGATCGTGCACAGATCAAATCGCAACTCTGCGGATCATTGTGGAACAATCAATTGAATGGAATTCATCACTCTACATCAACTTCATCGACTACGAGAAGGCATTTGATAGCGTGGACAGGACAACACTATGGAGTCTTCTTCAACACTACGGCGTGCCTGAGAAGATAGTCAATATCATACGGAACTCCTATGATGGACTAAACTGCCAAATCGTCCACGGAGGACAACTCACCGAGTCGTTTAAAGTAAAGACTGATGTTAGGCAAGGTTGCTTACTCTCACCCTTTCTCTTTCTCCTGTTCATCGACTGGATCATGAAGACGTCAACGACTGGAGGAAAGCACGGGATACAGTGGACAGGCAGGATGAAGCTTGACGATCTAGACTTCGCGGATGATCTGGCTCTTCTATCACAAACGCAACAACAAATGCAGGAGAAAACGACCAGTGTAGCAGCAGCCTCAGCAGCAGTAGGTCTCAATATAAACAAAGAGAAAAGCAAGACTCTCCGATACAATACAATATGCACCAATCAAATTACACTTGACGGAGAAGCTTTGAAGGATGTGGAAACCTTTACATATCTGGGCAGCATCATTGATGAACACGGTGGATCAGATACAGATGTGAGGGCGCGGATCGGCAAAGCAAGAGCAGCATATTTACAACTGAAAAACATCTGGAGCTCAAAACAATTGTCAACCAACACCAAGGTTAGAATTTTCAATACAAATATCAAGACAGTCCTACTATATGGGACGGAGACGTGGAGAACTACGAAAGCCATTAACCAGAAGATACTCGTGTTTATTAACAGCTGTCTACGCAAGATACTTCGGATCTGATGGCCAGACACTATCAGCAACAAGTTACTGTGGGAGACAACAAACCAGATTCCAGCAGAGGAAGAAATCAGGAAGAAGCGCTGGAAGTGGATTGGGCACACCTTGAGGAAATCACCCGATTGCGTCACAAGACAAGCCCTCACATGGAATCTTGAAGGTCAAAGGAGAAGAGGAAGACCAAAGAACACATTACGCCGAGAAATTGAGACAGACATGAGAATAATGAACAAGAACTGGGTAGAACTAGAAAAGGAAGCCCAGGACAGAGTGGGTTGGAGAAAGCTGGTCGGCGGCCTATGCTCCATTGGGAGTAACAGGCGTAAGTAAGTAAGTAAGTAAGTAATTATACATGTATACATTTATATATGTATATATCATTAAAATGAAATGTGGTGTTGACATGTAAATAGCAACTGGACTAATTATATACTTATGTGAAACTCAGCCCTGTGAAATCAGGGTCGGTCATTGAATGGCATGTACTAGTCAGTAATGAGATTAACTTGTTTTGGGTTAGAATAGTTTGTGAAAACGAATTCATCTCGGATAACCATTGTTAATCACTGAAAGTATTTCGTTGAGATTCAACTGCTTTTCTGTGAAATGTTGACTTCTTTTAATTAAGGCAATTTAATTGGGGTGATTGAAGTGTATGAAAGCAGTGTGTATTCGGCACAAACAAGAAATCAGGACACAAGTGGAGATGTATGAATTGTACAATTACCATGATTTTGTTACACAAAGAGTGTCGAATGATTTTGATGTTGATGATGATGATGTTGTGTTTTCTGTCAGTATTTACAGATCTTTGCATGTTATACTACTGCTAAGAAGTGATTTTCCTTCAACGGAAAATATAAAAATATCAGGTTCGTTTGTCGTTTCCGATCATCCATACTCTCAACTTACCAGTCCTTGTATATGATCCACTCGTTCTTATTTTTCCGAGAATTTCTACGTTTATCCTCGAGAAAGATCATAGTATGGTTTGAACACTGTCGATCGTGTTGATAGAGACACTTACTTTTATTCAAGTATCAGTAAATTTGTGGGGAATTATCCATATAATTGTAGGCGACTGATTGGTGCTGTTCGATTATACACACACAAATCACTTCAACTACACCAAATGCCCTGGTACGGCCGAGATTGGGGAGAGTCCGCTCTCCCTCTCGAAATGCTCTCACATGGCCAGCGAATATATAGCCTCTTCCAGCGAAGTCCTACTCACTGCCTTCTCACAGTGGCATTACTGTTGTTTACGAAATCGAGAGGACGAAAAGCGAATGTCCGGCGCTTTAACCGGGTTGGTGGACAAGGCGAGTCCACCTAGGGGAGTATGAAAACCCTGATTCCAAACCAATGGTGCACATGGACTGGCTCCAGTATCCTGAAGGAACAAATGGCGTACAAATCAATCGTTGATCACCGGTTACCATGGGACTGCATTTCCTCACGATGCTCCACTGCCTTATGGATCAGATCTTTCGGTCAAAGGCTCCGGGTGTGGGCCCCTAAGCAAACCACCTGCTTCAGTTCGGGCACCTGGGCAGTATCACAGCCCTCAAGCAAAACGAATGAGGTTTGTATGGCGCATATTTATCTGGTTCTTCCTTGTACCAATATTTATGTGTTTAAATAAATAAATAATCTCCAATCTATCGTCTCACCGACACGTTTTTCGACTTTACACAACTTATAATGTGTAAAGTTGTTAAATAAAAACATTCCAAATAACATTGTCTGTCATCTGTAGGTGACAGTCAGTCCACACAAACAAGTTGTAGGTATTGAATCTGATTCATGTGCACTATTTCTTGTAATCTACAATTATTCAGAATTTGACACTTGTTTCTTTCTATTGTTCAAGAAACATCAGGTGAATTCCCAGAGGTGAATGGCACAAGCAACAATAACGGGTTCAATAATGATAATTCTGTTGTGGCTTTCCAAATCAAATCTAAACGCAAACGGACCTACAGCCTTTCATCTACACTTCCTTGGTATGCTTGGTTTACACTACCAAGATTTTGGTTGAGCTGTTCTATATTCAGTATAATGCGTCTTGGTGTAACTGTTTCTGTGGTAAGCAATAAATAAATACATACCATTTTCAAATTCAATTCTAGGAGGTCTGAACTAATAAGTTTGCAGAATTCAGATCACAACTAGAAAGAGTGACCTAAAACATCCGTAGAAGTTGCACAATTATCGTAGAATTTGTTTGTTCAGATAAATATCGCACCTATAAGCAAATGGGTCATTAAAATGATTACGAATTATGCAGGCTACTTGACAATGATGAGTAGTGTAGCATAATATGTAAAATAGCATGCGGCATAGAAACGAGCTCAAAAATGAAAAGTGACATTGATGCAACTTGAATTGGGTTCTTGATGAGGGTAAAGTATTCGGCATTCAACTTGTTCCACAAAACTTGAGGCTGAAGTATGCTATATTTTGTCATCGCCTCTCAGACATCCAACCAAGAAATCCTTTTGTAAGGCATAACAATATTAGGTACAATGTAGAAAAATATATCAGTGATATAACAAGTTACTTTGATTTACCTGCTTGTCTTATTGATCTACTTTCAGTGAATGAGCTATTTTAACTTCAGGAGATTTATCATGTGATGCAATTCGACGTTAAGCTCTCAATATTAAATAGGTGTTTCCCAATATCAGAAACACATATCAACTTAGATAGTTAGATTATATCACTAAAAACACTGGTCGGGTAAAACTTTCTTTAATCAATTCTTCACCGAGACTCTAAACTAATACACAGATTCTTACATAAGACTAAAATCAATGCCAAATAAATGGTGGATGGTTAGTTTGACAATGTATTTCAATATTTCCTGTAAAATCAGTCATTACTTAGTAAATAAACCGATACGAAATTAGATTTGAAGACGAGATTACGTATTCAGATCATGGCATCAATTCTTCACCGACACGGTGTTCAACGGTATTAATGTTCAACTTCAGTCAGTTCAGGAAATAGAGCAAACCTGATCCATTGCATGTAGTGGATAATTGTCTCACACTCGAAATTGTTGAATTTGACTGTTCACAGACTCTTTCCAGAACTGAAGTTAACATACTTATGACAGTGAAGTAGGTTAGATTTGTGGGTACTCAAACTACTTAATAAAAATACATCCACTTGATAACACTCGAAAAGGATCTATGCAGTTTCCGGATTACTATTCTAAACATATACTAAGTAAATGAAAAACTTTTCGCTGTACTCTACATTTTGGCATTCCGATAAGAATGTATATACTACTACAGATTCTAGTTAATTGAAGCTGTGAATATTAACACTAAGATAAAATAAACCTAACTAATGCGCGCTTTTAATGACTAAATATAAAAAAGTGAAGTGGTTGCTCAACGTCTTTTGTTGTTGAAGTTAGACACTAATACCGTTGGATGCCGGTTCAGTACTCTATCGGTTAAGCGCTAGCATGCGAGACTGGTAGGTTCTGGGTTCGAGTCTCGTGAGGCGGAATCGTTGATGCGCGCTGTTGAGGAGTCGCACAATAGAACGAAACGGCCGTCCAGTGCTTCCAGGTTTTCCATGCTGGTCTAGCTTCAATTGACTCTTGATTTCAACTATATATACAGAATAATATTTGTCAGTAAATATTTTTTTGCTTTTGTATTTTCAGTTGTACAGTGGTCCATTTTTGTTGAATTCATTAAAAATGAATAAAAGTTCAATGGTTTCTGTTCAATTAGTTACTACAATTTCTTGTTTGATCACGTCAGTTGCTGTACAAAGAATCAATAAATTACTCGGGAATTATGTAAGTGGAAGTAATTGACGATTTCAACAATCTTGAAATGAAGTTAAAAGTTTATTACTGAAAGATATTTCACTTTTTATTGAGCGCTGATTCATAACAGTTTGGTTAACTAAGCTTTAAACTTCTTTCATGATTTATTTGCTATTCGAATACAGCTTGATCGATCTAACTACAATCGGTAATGAAAAACTAACATGTTGTCTTTACTATAGACCTTCGAAAGTATTATTTAATCAATTTAAGAACGTTTAGAATCATCTGAGTCTTAACAGATATAGGCAGAAATGAACAGTAATTGTAAGACCTTATGCGGCTTCGATAGAGAAGGAACAATTCAAGTCCATAATTATAAGGACATCAGTCTTGAATTTTATGGTTTTGAAGAGATCTGATATGAGGCCTCACATGATGTTAAACAGAACGCATTGAGAAGCAATTTAGATGGCCTCTGAGTACATTTCCATTTGTCTATGTTAACAAGTAATCTGTATAGTACATCGACATCGAACCGAAAGAACCTAACGGGTCAAATATTTCATGTGATAAAGGCAAAGAAAACAACTTGATCAATCAAACGGATTACAGGTTCAGTCGTGAGTGAATCAATAGAATTACAAATGTACCTTCTACAGGACTGGAACTTGTAACAAACATAATCAAAGCTATAAACATTAACACTGAGACATTAGTATTGAGACTGACCACTCAAACATAACATATTATCGCATCTAAGTATTCAGAGTAGGATTTTAAATCTAGACCGTTATTTCATAATACTCTAATTGGTGGATTTCTCATCTTGCCAATGATTAACTTGACTTGATTCAATATATTCTAGGAATGGCTTTACTATTATTCATACATGAGATTCGATAAGTATTTTGCAGAACTCAGCACGTTCGTCAATCTTATAACATGATTACATGAAATATTCATAAACCTTATATCTCTTTCAGTGTGTACATGTTCCGCTAAAAATCGTACATGCTTTTTTAATTTTAGATTGGTTCAGTCGTCGGTGTTCTATTTACCCTTGGATTTTGTACAATCGCTTACTTTTTAAAATCAGCCGATGAAAACCTCATAGAAATCTATGTTTCTGCAGTCATTCTAGGCATTGGTAACACAATCAATAATGTTCGAGCAGTGGTTGCGATTACAACGTTGATCGGTGTAAAACAAGTATACACAGCAGCATTTGTTCATGGGATCGCATCATTGTTTGACAAAATCTTGACTGGTATCTTCATTCAATGCATACAACTCTGTGTACCTCAGTTAACTTATAGACATATAAAGGTGTATATTGTAGGTAGTTTGGCAGTATTCGGTGGTATCCTGGCGACAATTGATAATTTCATTTACTCAGAGACTTTAGAAAGTACAAACGCACCTTGTCTTTCATGTATTAGTAGAAGAACAACTTCATCATCGTCTCCACCACCATCGAAATTTCAGGGTGACTAAACCTTTAATCATGTTAGTAATGATAATCGAACTAATGGTAACTGTAGATGCTAATCAACATATTTATGTATCAATAATGAAAGTCAAAAATCTTTCCGCATTCAACAAAACATCTTCATGTTCGATCAGTCTACCACTTTTCAATCTCTCAGTCTATTGATGTATATTCACCTACCTTTTTTTGGCAAGAAACTCTATCTGTTATGGTACTTATAACATGAAAACCATATTTTTCTTAAGCAATCTACTATCGAATACTTTATTGAACCTTTCCATTGAATACATCAGGCTGCATTAATTAGACCCTTGATGTAAAGTAAGAAAATGGAGTATTCACAATCTTTGTTATACTAAAGGAATATTGTATTTATTATCCATGGATATTCATGATTGATTCTTCGACAGGAATTTTCTCTGTAAACAAACAGAAGTTAAAGTGTAGGTAACATTATTTTTCCTAATAAAACAAGTAGAAATAAATTGTCTCATTCACCAAGTATTCTAACTTTATTCATTGACTTTAAAATTGGTTTACATTAGTAACTGATGAATAAATGAAACTAAGAGATTGACAGTTATTTATTTGCGTTCTGAACTCCTCATCAGGATAACCTATGAATAGTTTGTGATTTAATTTAGACAATTGAAAAGGTGAGATAAGTATGATTGTAATGTGAATTCTGGTTGGATACGTTATATAATGTGACAGTAGTTTGAGTGAAGGGTTGGTATGCGGTTGAGAAGATTGGAAAAATCAGAGGAGTACTGGACAACCATTTCATCCTATATAGGAGCTTCATAGCAATATACATCCACGACTGCAAAACAGATATTTTACAATGAATATGACACTTTCGAATCCCTGAATCAGAATCCATCTGTTCACATTTTGTTCAACTTCAATCATTTTTTGAGGTATCGAGACCCTCATCTGAAGCTATCGGTGGTAGACAGCAATTAGCTGACACCCGATTTGTTTAACCTCATAATTCATAGCATCTCATCATAACTCTGAGAAATACATTTCTAAGCTAGTCAGTGACAAGCGCATGACCATCAATTAGATAGATGTAGAAGTGCAACAACTACAGGGGCATCACTCTTCTCTCAATAACAGGAAAAGTCTTCAACAGAGTATTGTTAAACAGGATGAAGGATTCAGTGGACGCCCAACTTCGAGATCAACAAGCTGGATTTCGTAAGGATAGATCGTGCACAGATCAAATCGCAACTCTGCGGATCATTGTGGAACAATCAATTGAATGGAATTCATCACTCTACATCAACTTCATCGACTACGAGAAGGCATTTGATAGCGTGGACAGGACAACACTATGGAGTCTTCTTCAACACTACGGCGTGCCTGAGAAGATAGTCAATATCATACGGAACTCCTATGATGGACTAAACTGCCAAATCGTCCACGGAGGACAACTCACCGAGTCGTTTAAAGTAAAGACTGATGTTAGGCAAGGTTGCTTACTCTCACCCTTTCTCTTTCTCCTGTTCATCGACTGGATCATGAAGACGTCAACGACTGGAGGAAAGCACGGGATACAGTGGACAGGCAGGATGAAGCTTGACGATCTAGACTTCGCGGATGATCTGGCTCTTCTATCACAAACGCAACAACAAATGCAGGAGAAAACGACCAGTGTAGCAGCAGCCTCAGCAGCAGTAGGTCTCAATATAAACAAAGAGAAAAGCAAGACTCTCCGATACAATACAATATGCACCAATCAAATTACACTTGACGGAGAAGCTTTGAAGGATGTGGAAACCTTTACATATCTGGGCAGCATCATTGATGAACACGGTGGATCAGATACAGATGTGAGGGCGCGGATCGGCAAAGCAAGAGCAGCATATTTACAACTGAAAAACATCTGGAGCTCAAAACAATTGTCAACCAACACCAAGGTTAGAATTTTCAATACAAATATCAAGACAGTCCTACTATATGGGACGGAGACGTGGAGAACTACGAAAGCCATTAACCAGAAGATACTCGTGTTTATTAACAGCTGTCTACGCAAGATACTTCGGATCTGATGGCCAGACACTATCAGCAACAAGTTACTGTGGGAGACAACAAACCAGATTCCAGCAGAGGAAGAAATCAGGAAGAAGCGCTGGAAGTGGATTGGGCACACTTTGAGGAAATCACCCGATTGCGTCACAAGACAAGCCCTCACATGGAATCTTGAAGGTCAAAGGAGAAGAGGAAGACTAAAGAACACATTACGCCGAGAAATTGAGACAGACATGAGAATAATGAACAAGAACTGGGTAGAACTAGAAAAGGAAGCCCAGGACAGAGTGGGTTGGAGAAAGCTGGTCGGCGGCCTATGCTCCATTGGGAGTAACAGGCGTAAGTAAGTAAGTAAGTAAGTAAGAAATTTCTTTGATTTAGACACAGTTTTCATGACTCATCGTTTCATGTTCCGAACGAGAATACCTCGTGGTCCTATTCAATAAGTTACTATGAATCAGAAGCATATTATAACAACTTATGAAGTTAGATCTGCAAAAGTCTCAAGGCATTAGTTCTGTGAGAAAACATGGTGGTTATTGGTAAACAGGAAACCCTGAACCTAGGTTTCGTGATACTTGGAACTCATCAGCAAGGTGTACCTGTAATCTTGTGGGAACTGATGGTCCCTGACGGATTCGATCCTGTGTCACTTAGCTTAACAGTCAGAGATGCTACTACTGAGCTATTTGGGCCGCGTCCGAACTCCTGTAGGACTGAGAGGTAATCACAATTGATTGACCACTGGGTGGTGATCAATGTCATGCGTGTCAAGTTCTTCTTAGTGCTGATCGAATTTTGTCGATCCAACCACCATCTTATCTCAACATAGTGCACGCAGTGTCGAGCCACCTAGAGTAGTGGCGGCATTGCAACTTAATCGATAGCATTCGATCAGCACTAAGAAGAACTTGACACGAATGACATTGATCACCACCCAGTGGTCAATCAATTCTGTGAGAAAATGTTAACGGTATATAATCCTGATAATGCAATAATAGGATGAATCAACGTTACTAAAAATATCCTCCTAGTATTCATAAACGATTGAATTTCGGGAATTATCCACCGTTTTTGTTTTCGATTCTACATCCTTTAAGTCTCACAGATAGTACATTTACATTTATTTACTTGACTGATTACTAAATACCCATTTCTGAAAGAAAAGTTTGATTATGATAGCTACTTTTATTTCTGAATAATAAGTAAACAGAACATCAAAACTATAATTACTATTCATTTTTATTTATACAGCTTTTCTATGTTACTTTATATTTGTGTATAGTACAAAAAGACCTCGGCGGCCTATGCTCCATTGGGAGTAACAGGCGTAAGTAAGTAACGAAAAGACCTACTGTAGATGACTTCTTTTTATATTCTAATTATGAATTCTAATATAAAGTTTTAGTGATGTTACAAAATCATTCTTTATTCTAAATTGGATTCAGTTTGATTTTCAGCTGTGATGACTGTAGCGTCGAATGCTGCTGAAGCTCTTCTATGTCCAGCATATTTTAATTGTTTTAATGTAGGATTACGAGATAAGTCTAATTTCGGTTTAGGTATGTCTTCTGTTGGATGTGTGAAACGTCTCCATATGGATGGATGACCATTAGAAGAATTTTTTGATTTTGGATGAAGTTTCTCTTTTTTTAATGAATACTTATGCCATTTTATTTCAATAATTAAAACAATTAAGCTTGTTACAATGAATACAGAAAGTACAATGAAAGCACCCGACATATTGCGTAATGTAACTAAATTGAATGTGGCGGTATTTGAGGTATATTTTATTTTTTCAACATTCCATTTCTCAAGTAAATGATCAATAACTCCTCTTTCTCGAAGAATTGACATACTAAATTAAAAATATAATAAAATTTCTAAATCACTACTATTAACAGAGTGATTAGTTTATCTATGAAAAGTTATGGTAAAATACTGTTAATTTATCTGCGAACAATTTATGAATTGACGCTTACTTCACATATTCATTTGCTTACTTACTTACATACGCCTGTTATACCTCATCGAGGAGCATAGGCCGCACACCAGCATTCTTCATCAAACCGTGTTATAGGAAATCCTTCTCACTTCTTTACAGTTAACATTCATCCTTTTCATATCTGCATCTATTTCTCGACGTATTGTGTTCTTTGGCCTTCGTTTTTCCCATTTCCCTTCCGAATTCCAAGTTAGGGATTGCTTCGTGTTGCAGTTTGGTTATTTCCTCAATGTATGTCCGATACACTTACAACGTCTTTTCCTGATTTCCTCCTCAGTTGGAACCCGGTTTGTCCTCTCCCATAAAACGCTGTTGCTGATAGTATCCGGTCAGTGAATGTTGAGTATCTTGCGTAGACAACTACTTATAAATACTTGCACATTTAGATGATGGTTGTAGTAGTTCTCTACGTTTCAGCCCCTTTCAGTGGAACTGTGTTGACGTTTGTATTGAAGATTCTCACTTTGAAATTAGTTGAGAGTTGTTTTGACTTCTATATGTTCTTCCATTGTAGGAAAGTGGTCCTTGCTTTGTCAATCCTCGCATTTACATCTACATCAGATCCTCCTTGTTTATCAATGATGCTGCTGTCCAACTACGTGAAAGATTCCACCTCTTCCAGAGTTTCTCCATCAATTGTGATCGGGTTGGTGTTCTCCGTGTTGTACTTGAGAATCTTGCTTTTTCCTTTGTGAATGTTGAGGCCTATTTATATAGAGGCTGCTGCTACATTTGTTGCCTTCGTCTGTATTTGTTCGTGTGTATGAGATAGGAGGGCTAGATCAACTGCGAAGTCCAAATCATCTAATTGGTTCTGAGATGTTCATTGTATTCCGTGCTTCCCCTCAGATGTCGAGGTCGTCATAATCCGGTCAATCACCAGAAGAAAGAGGAAGGAGGAGGGACATATTCAATTAGGAACAAATAATAACATGAAAATCAATGTTAGTTACTTGTTAGTAATATTACGTTTCATTATGAAAGAACAATTATTCCATTGTATTGTACTCCATCAATATCTGTAAATCAAAACTTATCTGAGAATGGTTCAATCAATTTGTAACTATATTTCTAAGTGGAACAATAATCTAATCCAGATCACTATCCTTAAGTCATTTTCTGCATTAGTTCGATCACCTTTGTACACATATCAATTGTAAGGATATGCATATGGCTTTGAATCATAAAATTACCAATGAAATATAAGTTTCTATCGCTCTATAACTAAGTTGAACAAAAGTTACGAATGGTTATATTGACTTAATAAGGCTTTAGATAATAATAAAAATGTTGTCATATAGAATAACTTACAAACTGAGCATTAGTGGAGCATATTCTTCACCTAATCTTACAGCAAATCCAATTGGTATTATAACTTTCTTATCATCAACAACTGTTAAAGTTTCCTCATTGTCAGGTAAATAATGCAATAATTGTATTTTGTCATCTAGTAAAACATTTTTAGTACTGTTGCGGACGTAAGCTACACCATCACTTAGGTTTCTAAGGACATATGGGTTGCCCATAATTTTCTCATATACTATTGAGTAATATTCATTGGCCGTTGCACTCTGAAAGACAAAGAAAGGTACATACCAAATGTACTACTGTGAATACAA